CTCCCCCATGCTCCCCCACGCTCTGCCACGCTCCCCGACGCTCCGCCACGCTCCCCCATGCTCCCTCACGCTCCCTCATGCTCCCAGTTCCTGTGGTGAAGTGGGTGACGCTCCCTGTCGCTGGGAAGGCTCGCCGTGGCTGTGCACGGGCTGGTGTCCTGTGGGGTGGTAGATTCGCTAAGCCTCAGGGACTCTCTTCTCCGTCAGATCAGATAATGGTGGTTACTTACTTCCTTATTTATTTTTAAAATATATTTTCATTGAATTCAGAGAGGAAGGGCGAGGGGGAGAGAGATGGAAATATCCATGATGAGAGAGAACCATGGATCGGCTGCCTCCTGCATGCCCCCCACTGGGGATCGAGCCTGCAACCTGGGCCTGTGCCCTTGACGGGAATCAAACCCAGGACCCTACAGGCCTCGGGCGATGCTCTATCCACTGAGCCACACCGGCCAGGCCTGGTGCAAGTTGTTTAGTAGGAGGAAGAAAAGACTTGCACAAAGCAAGTGGCAAACTCAGTTTCAGAGGAGAGATGAGGAAGAGAGACACCTGCCACTCACCGGGAGGACACGGCCTTACAACGAGGGGCACCTTTGGGGGGAATGTGTGTGGGAGGGACACCCGGGCTGGGGAGCAGCTGGAGCAGAAACGGGAGGGAGGGCGGGTGGGCTGGCGGGAAGGCGGTCTGAGCGGGAAGGCACGCGTGCCTGTGCCGGGAGGCCTCCGCCATGGGAGTGGAGAGGCGGTCAGTGCGTGCCCAGGGAGAAACTGGTCCCCAGGCCTGCAAGTCCCTCCTCGAGTCACTGAGTGCCGTGCGGACGGCTGTGCGCAGACGGGAGACGTGGGGGGGAGTGGGTATCATCCCGGCAGGCTGCGTGTCAGGCTGGGGTTTGCTGGAGAGAGGTCGGAGGCTGAAGGAGCCTGTGGGCCGGAACCTGGGCAGCGGACGGGGCGGAGCGGAGGCCCGCGAGGGAAAGGCCTCTGGGAGCAGGAGGACAGAATCCCGCCCCCTGGACGCAGAGGGCGAGGCGGGCGGGAGGCATGCGGTGGAGACTTCTGGGTCAGAGAGAGCGGAGACGGTGCGGAGGCAGTGGGTTAGGTCTGACTGCGTCTCAGGAACCTGGGGGCACACGAGGGCGTCGGCTACGGTTTGGAGCCCAGGAGGGAGTGTTGGTGAAAGTGGCGTTGCTGTCAGCTGTGCCTCCGTGGGGTGCAGTGATCCGAGGGCAGCTTCAATCCTGGCCCCCGTGGGAGGCTGCCAGCTGGAGTGGGAGGAACAGAAGGCAGAAGGCACAGCGGAGACGCCCCAGGGCTCAGGTGCCGGTGATCCCGGCTCGGAGGCAGGCGGAGGTGGTATCGCTGAGAAACTGGAGCACAGGGCGGGCGGAGGACGCCTCCAGCTTGTCCTGGAAACGGGGGTTTCCTTGAACAAACAGGTCAAAGGTGGCCCTTTGAGGAGTGGAAGCAGCAGAGACGCCCACTCACTCCCACTCACCCCGTGGAGGGGGAGGGAGGGCACAGAGCGGGAGCCAGGCAGCTCCTCAGGACCCTTCCGCCTGGGGCGAAGCTGGGGAAACATGGAATCTGGAAAGGAGAGGAGAGGTGAGCTCTGGGCGCAGGGCGCTGGCGCAATCCAGGATGTCGGTCAGCGCTGTGTTTATGTATTGCTTCCCAAGGCAAAGCCATTACACGCCAGAGAGGGGCAGGCCTACGGAACCCAAATTACTTAGGGTTCTATGGCGGCCCCCCTTCATCCGGGGGCGGGGGCCGTTAAAACCCCCAGCGGACACCTGAAACCACAGACTGCACCGAGCCCGATGCATACGGTGTGCTTGCCTGTGCTAGAGCCTGTGATAAAGTCTAACTTCTCAATCAGGCACAGTGAGAGGGCAACAACAACAGCACTAAGATGGGACAGCTGTAACAGGGACACGCCAGGCAGCAATAAAGGCTATTTTCCCCACTGATCTTTAGAGAGAGTGGAAGGGAGGGGGAGAGACACACAGAGAGAAACATGGATGATCAATTGCTAGCCCCCCAAATGCCCGGGCCGGGGCCAGGAGCCTGCAGCTGAGGTGCATGCCCTTGACTGGAATCAACCCGGGACCCTTCAGTCTGCAGGCTGACGCTCGATGTACTGAGCCAAACTGGCCAGGGACAAAAATGTTTTATTTTTTTACTAAAGTGCAAAGAACCCGGGCCTTACGGGGGAGGTATGAAGGCGGCATGCACATCTTCTATATTCAGAAAGATGTCATTCTTGACAGGGCTCACTTCCCACAGATTCCATTGAACCATAGACGGGAGGTAAGATGTTTATACGTGAGAAAAAAAAATGCCATCTATTTTTTTCTTTTTAGCTATTTTTAGGATAGTTCATATGCCCATTTGAATTTTTCACTTATGTATTCCTTTAATTAAGACTAAAAATTTATTGCTTCTCAGCCTTTTGGCTAAGGTCAAATCCTATATAATAAAAGGCTAGTATATAAATTGACCTAATGGCAGAACAACTGGTTGCTATGTCTCACACTGACCACCAGGGGGCAGACACGCAATGCAGGAGCTGCCCCCTGGTGGTCAGTGCGCTCCCACAGGGGGAGCACTGCTCAGCCAGAAGCCGGGCTCAGGACTGGCGAGTGCAGCAGGGGTGGTGGGAGCCTCTCCCGTCTCCAGGACAATGCTAAGGATGTCCAACTGAAGGCTTAGGCCCACTTCCCGCAGGCTCCGGGACTGGGAGAGGGCACAGGTCGGGCTGAGGGATCACCACAAGAGCATGAATTTCATTCACTGGGCTTCTAGTGTAAAAATAAAAATAATTTATATTCTTATAATTTACATTACTTTATAATGATTTAGAATAATCGTAATCCTATCTAATAAAAGAGTAATATGCAAATTGACCATCACTCCAACACACAAGATGGCTGCCCCCATGTGGTCAAAGACGGCTGCCCCTAAGTGGACATAAAATAGCTGCCACAAGATGGCCAGCAGGGGAGGGCAGTTGCGGGTGATCAAGCTTGCAGGGGAGGGCAGTTAGGGGCGACCAGGCCTGCAGAGGAGGGAAGTTGGGGGCAACTGGGCCTGCAAGGAAGGGCAGTTTGGGGAGACCAGGCCTGTAGTGGAGTGCAGGTAGGGGCAATCAGGCTGGCAGGGGAGCAGTTAGGCATCAATCAGGCTGGCAGGAAAGTGGTTAGGGGGTGAGCAGGCTGGCAGGCAGAAGCAGTTAGGGGCAATCAGGAAGGCAGGCAGGTGAGCAGTTAAGAGCCAGGGCTGATTGCTATAACGTGCACTGACCACAGGGGGCAGACATGCTGTAGGATCTGGCCTAAATGGGCAGTCGGACATCCCTTGAGGGGTCCCAGATTGGAGAGGGTACAGGTTGGGCTGAGGGACACACACACCCGTGCACCAATTTTGTGCACCAGGCCTCTAGTTTTAAAATGATTTATAATATATGATAGGAAAGAAAATCACATAAAATAAGGTAAGCAAAAAGAACCCAAAAGACATAGGCTCTTACTCACACAGAGATAAACCACTGTTAATATACTGAAATAGTTTCTTACTGAAAAACAAATGATAGTGCTTTTACTTTTTAAAAATATATATATTTTATTGATTTTTTTACAGAGAGGAAGAGAGAGGGATAGAGAGTTAGAAACATCCATGAGAGAGAAACATCCATCAGCTGCCTCCTGCACACCCCCTACTGGGGATGTGCCTGCAACCAAGGTCCATGCCCTTGACCGGAATCGAACCCGGGACCCTTCAGTCCGCAGGCCAATGCTCCATCCACTGAGCTAAACCTGTCAGGGCAAATGACAGTGCTTTTAAATACTCAAAGAACCTTACCAGAACCTCCTGCCACACTGACACGACTGCTTGGGCCTCACATTTTTCACTAAGTCGTCCTTTCTCACCAACACGCCAGGCCGTTCTGAGGCCACAGTCACTCAGAGGAGAACCGAGGCCGCTTCGTTGCCCCCTTGTTGTGGGAAGAAGCGGCCCTGGGTCTCCTGTTCACCGGACGACTGGCTCCGCTGAGAAGTTCAGGAATTTAAGGAAACACACACTTATCAGAAGAACCTGCCTCAAAAGAATTTTTGTATTTCTTCCCCCTCTTTTTACGTGCGGATGAGTAATTTCATTTTGTGTGACCTGTTTCTTAGAACTGGTTTTAAGAACAAAAAAATGGAAACGGTGCAGTTCACTTTGATGCCTCCCATTTAAATCGGGAAGGGAGCGTTGGGAAGAAGGAAGTTAAGAATAAAGATTTTTGCCAAAACCGGTTTGGCTCAGTGGATAGAGCGTGGCCTGCGGACTAAAAGGTCCCGGGTTCGATTCCGGTCAAGGGCATGTACACTGGTTGTGGGCACATCCCCAGTAGGGGATGTGTAAGAGGCAACTGATTGATGATTCTCTCTCATCGATGTTTCTAGCTTTCTGTCCCTCTCCCTTCCTCTCTGTAAAAAATCGATAAAATATATATATATATATATATATAAAAGAATAAAGGAAAGTGTGAATAATGAAACGGATACTTTGAAAGAAATTAAGCTGCCTGGAAATATGGAGGAGAAAGGGCAGTGGATGCATTCTTCTGCCTCCTGAGGTCGTTGAGCTTCCATGAATTGACAAGTTTCAGCGTTCAGCTCCCACTGGCAGATCGCTGCCCTCTCCGGCAGGCCGGTCCTGTTGCTTGGTGAACTTGACGCGTCTCCAGGGCCCAGCCGGAGGGAGGAGAGCGGGCGTCCCGTGGGCGTCCTTGGCCTTGGCCGCTGCTGCGGGTGCTACAGGATGTGCATAGCAGAGATAACGGTGGTGCAATCAGGAAAAGCAGAACAGCTGTCCGGCCAGGGGAGTCTGGAGGAGGCAGGGTCCCGGGGTCACACTGGCCACATGACCTGCAGGCTGACCCCTCCGGTGCAGGACGCCCACGCCCGGCCTCCGGCCCACGGGGAGCGATGAAGCGGCTGTGTGAGTGCGTAAGGCAGGCGTGGGCCGGACACAGCGAAGCAACTCTGCTGGGATAGGTGTGTGTGTGTTTTAAAATGAAAAAAAAAAAATCATTATTGATTTCAGAGAGGAAGGGAGAGGGAGAAACATCAATGATGAGAGAGCATCTTTGATTGGCTGCCTCCTGCACGCCCCCTCTCGGGGATCCAGCCCAGGCATGTGCCCTTGACCAGAACTGAACCTGGGACCCTTCAGTCCGCAGGCCAATGCTCTGTCCACTGAGCCACACGGGCCAGGGCCGGGACAGGTCCTGGCCCAAGGACACGGTGCCCTGAAGTGCCGCGAGGATCCCTGCAGGAGTGCCCGGGGCTGGGAGGCCTCCCTGCTGAGTGCAGGCTGCTGAGTGCAGGGCGGCAGCTGTGGTCTGTTCTAAGTCAGTCTGGGGTGCATTTCCCCCCTGGGTCGGCAGGGGTAACTGCATCCGCACCCCAGTTTTATAGAGGAAGGCCTGGGCCCAGTGAGGCGCCGTGGGTGTTGTGTGTCCACGCCTGTGTGTGCGAGGTTACCGACCAGCCGCTCCGCAGACATTGCCCACACATGGCCGTCCTGCCAGCGCGGGCGTTTTACGCATCAATTGCCCAGACCTTGCCTCCTGCAAAGCAGGGTTTGTAGCCTGTCAGCGACCCGGCTCGGCCTGAGCGCCTCAGCCTTGTTTTGCTTCATTCAGAGCAGCCCCATCTGTTGATCCGGCGCATTTCGCAGGTCAGGAGAATGACTTGGACGGCAAACTTCCTGCCCGGGCAGCTTGGAATTCCGAGCTGGCACCCGAATGCCCATCCGCCTCCGGGCCTGGGGCAGGGGGGAGGGAGAGTGCGCTCCAGGGTGTTCGTCCCGAGGAGAGACCGCGGGGATGGCACCGCGCCCCTGCCCTCTACCCCTTGCCCCCTGCCCCTGCCCCTGCCCCTGCCCTGGCCCAACCACCCGGGCCCCAGGCCAGGGCCCAGGTCACAGCAACCTCCGCTCGGTGATGAAACCCCGCGCCTTATCCGGGCAGGATCGGGGCCTGAGCGGGCTTAGCTGACGTGGCGAGCCCAGGTACCAGCCGCGCGGGCGGCCCGGGCAGGGCCGGCGACTCGCCCCGGCCCCCAGGCGCCGCCGCCGGGCCCCTTCCCGGGGTCTGGGCAGCCCGCTCCGGTGGGGCGGCCGGAGCCCCGCTCCGCCCGGTCCGGCCCGAAGGTCGGCCCCGCCCCTCGCCGGCCGGGGCGCCGGGAGCGGAGCGGGGCGCGCGGCCGCGGCGTCTTTAAGGAGCGGCGCTGCGGGCCGGCCCCGCACTCAGGCCGCCTCCCGCCCCGCCCGCCCCGCGTCTCCGGGCCCAGGCGCCGGGCAGCCCCCGGGCGCCGAGCACCAGGCGCCCCGCGCGCTCCCGCGGGCTCCGGACGTGGCACAGGTGACGCGTTTGCAGGGCTGGGGGGGGGGGGTGTCAGGGCTCCGCAGACCGGCGTCCTGGGCGGGGGGCCGGGGCGGCTCCGGCAGGTGCGCAGCATCGTGGCCCGCGGGCCGCGCCGGTGGGTCCCCCTCCGCCCCCCTCTCTGCGCTCCGGGCTCAGCGCGGGGCGGGCGCCCGGCATCGGGGAGCGCGGGGCGGGCGCAGGCGCCGGAGCGGGTGGGCGTCCCCCCGCGCCCCTCCCCGCCGGGCACAGAGCCGCCGCGGCCCCGGCGCCGCGGACGCGGTCCGGTTCGGAGTGGGGATCTGGCGGGGGCGGGGGCGGCGCGGAGCCGGGCAGACACGGTTCTGTTGGGTTCTGTGTACGGCGCCGCCCCTGCGCCGGGCAGGTGGGTTCCGCCCGCTGAGCGGGGCCTCGGCTTACCCAGCTGGGAAATGGGCGCGGACCCGCCCGTCCCGCCGTCAGGGCCGCGGGCCGCCGAGTCCACCGGAGGGTGGGCGGGCGCGCGGGGCGGGACCCGGGTCCTGGGCGCGTGTCAGGGACACGGGGCGGGCAGGGCTCAGACCTCCCCCGGCAGCGGGCCCAGGTGCCGGAGCCCCTCTCTCCCTGGGGCGCCGTGCAAAGGGGAACTCCGGCTTGTCTTTTCCTCGCGCGGACCGACCGGGAGTGAATGGCTGCCCCCTGGGAGCCCGGGGCCGGGGGAGCCGGCCAGTGCGTTTGCGTCCCGGCGCAGGGGGCTCCGTGCTGGGCGGGCTCCCACCCGCAGCCCTGGGCCCATCCCGCCTCTCCCTCCGCTGGGCCTGCCCTGCGCCCCCACCTGCTCCTCCTCTGGGGGCCGGCTCCCCGGCACCTTCTCCTCCCCGGCTTCTGTACCCGAGGGTGTTTTTCCATGGCTTTTAGAGAGAGTGGAAGAGCGAGGGAAAGAGAGAGAAACATCCATGTGAGAGAGGCACAGCTATTGGTTGTCTCCGGTAAGCGCCTGGCCAGAGAGGAGCCTGCGACCAAGTCTGTGCCCTTGACCAGAATCGAACCCAGGACCCCTCAGTGCACAGTCTGACGCTCTGTCCACTGAGCCAAACGCTGGCTCCTTTTAAGAGAGTGGCCAGCTGCCCAGGAGTGGCGGTGGCACCGGGCTGAGACTTATAGCAAACTCCAGAGAAGGGGCCTCCGAACCCCTGGGGGCGGTGCAGAGCTGGCTGCTCTCCGTCCTCTTCCGGGACCCCCACCGAGAGGGTCCTCCTGCTCCCAAGGTGAGCGAGGCCTTGGAGCAGGCAGCCCCAGAACCGAGGCCATGGCCCAGCGCAGCGTGGGAGGAGCCAGTGGGACCTGGGGGGGCGGGGGGACGGGGGCGCCCTCCCAGGGCCCAGGTGCCTGGTGGCAGGAGCCCAGGCCGCGTGGAGCTGGCATCCCGTGTGCCTGCCCTTTGGGCCTTGCCCAGCTGCCCTGAAGCCCTAGCCCTGCCACCCGGTCCCCTGCTCAGTCTCTAGAGGAGCCCAGTGTCTCCCCCAAGCCGCGGCCCCTGGAGGGGCGGGAGCCCAGCCCCTGGCTCCCTAGGAAACCTCAGACCTCAGCGTCTCCGCCCCCTCTTCTCAGATGACCGTCCCCCCCACAGACGGGATTCATTTCGCTCCGACAGAGCGTCAGCGGAGTCTCCAGGAGGGAGAGGATGAATTTGTTGTCTGGGGGGACTGTGGCGATTGGACAAGGGAGGACAGGGCAGGGTGGGTGGGGCGTGCTGGACAGCCATGCTGGCCCTGGAGAGCGAGGCCGCGGGCGCACGGCCGCCTGGCTGCGCCGACCCTCCTTCCCGTCACCCGCGAGGAGGCAGGGCCGCGGACGAGGGTGGGAGCGTCTTCCAGCCCGGGCGTCAGGCACCAGCCAGGGGTGCCACCCAGGCCGCGTCCCATCCCCGAGGGAGTGGGTTTCGTAAGGTCGGAGGCGTCTCCAGGGCGGCTTCGCTGTGCTCGTCCTGGACGGAGGCGAAGGCAGCTCCCGGGAGGCCGGTCCTGCCTGAGGCGCTGGTTGAGAGGCGGGTGTGCTCCCCATTCTCAGACCTGGGAGGGCCTCAGAGCCCTGGTGTGCGCAGGGGACAGGCGGGGGCCACGGAGCCGAGGCCTGTGGGTCCCCGGAGAGGCCGGCCTGGGAGCTGCTGGGAGGGTCGGAGCCCGGCTGGGGAGGGTGTGCCCAGGGGACCCCAGGGCAGGCGCCCGGTGGGCTGCGCTGCCCTCGGTTTGGGGCGACAGCACAGCGAGGTGCGTTTGATGCAGAGACGGGGCACCCGGGCCTCGCCTGCTCCGGGTCTGCTCTGGGCGGTCCCAGCCCGGTCTCCGAAGCCGTGCCCGGCGGGTGGAAGCGGGGGCTGTGGGGAGCTGGCTGCAGGGGGCTGGGGGCGTGGGCGAGCACGGTTGTTGGGGAGCTGCCTGCACCGGTCGGTGGGTATCATCTTGTGTTTGGGGGGCAGGACCCACGGTCCTGAAAGGCCGCTGGGCGGGCGGATGGGGGAGGAGACTTCCCACCCGTTCTCTCCCCTTCGAAGCCAAGAAGCCGGGTGCAAGGAGCACCTTGCGGGCTGGAGAGCCGGTCCCGGAGCCGCAGGTCAGAGGGCAGCCATGCCCTCCCCCATCAGGTCCCGGAGCAGCAGTTCAGAGGGCAGCCATGCCCTGGCCTGACGAGGCTGCTGCCCCTGATGTGCACCAGCGGGCTGGGGCCCAGAGCAGGGTGGGGCAGCCCCGTCCCGCTCCTGGGAGTTTGTGCAGAAGCTGACGCAGAATGAGTGTTGCTTTTTGCTGATCAGACGCGTGGGAAGCTGGCTGCTTGCTCAGGGAGCTGGAAAAGGGTCCCCTCGCTGCTCCTGAGCGGGCGGCGATCAGACTGCCTCAGGCTCCATCCCAGGACACACTGGAACGTCAAACCGGAACGTCACTCCTCGGCTCCGGGCTGCCAAGAAAGCTTTTTGGAGAAACGGGCGAGGCGGCATCTGCAGCTGCACCGGATCAATGGCCGCAGCCCCGCAGGCTCAGATTCCCGTTACCGCCGTCCGCCGCCTCCCAGGAGCGCGCTCCCCCGTGGGCCTGGCCGCCGCAGGAAGGCGAGGACGCCACGCCAGGCGCAGCGCCGCGTGGGCGCCCGGCTCCTGTCCGCTGAGCCCCGGGCGCCTGGTGCCCGCCGGCCTCGTCGCCCGGCCGGGTGGTGTCCACTGTGTCCTGCTCTGGCCGCCCTGAATGTAACTGGACATCAGCGGGTTTACCCATTGGGTTTGACCTCAGCGTCGGCCTGAAGGGTCCCGGGTTCAGTTCCCGGTCAGGACACAGGCCTGGGTTGTGGGCTTGGTCCCCAGTGGGGGGTGTGCAGGAGGCAGCTGATGCATGACCCTCTCATCACGGATGTGTCTCTCCCCCTCCTCCCTCTGGGAGCCACAAGAACACGTTTCAAGAGAAGTAGGCCTGCCTGTGCTTGGCTGCGTTCCCACGACCCACCACCCTGTCCCTGCTCCTCGGCCGCTTCCCACCTGCTCCCTGCGCTGGCCAGGTGTCTGCCTCTCAGCGAAAGGTCACCGGGCCGAGGATCAAGTTCACGGGTTTAATCCAGAAATAGCTTCACAAGGACCTAGCGGGTCGCCTGACCGGTGACAGCAGCGCCCAGGGCCGTTCCGGTGCCTCTGGGGGAGGAGGGCGGGCCTCTCGGGCTCTCAGCGCCCCCGCCCAGGCGTGGGGGTGCTTTAGGGGCGGCGCTGTGTTAGAGCTATAACCACGACAGGATATTGTCCTTTAAAAACAGACCGCCCGCCGGCCGGCGCGGCTCAGTGGCCGAGCGTCCACCTAGGAACCAGGAGGTCAGTCAGGGCACAGGCCCGGGTTGTGGGCTCCATCCCCAGTCGGGGGCGTGTAGGAGGCAGCTGATCTAGGATGTGCCTCTCTCATCATTGATGTTTCTCTCTCTCCCTCTCCCTTCTTCTCTGAAATCAATAACAACAAAAAAAAAATATTCTTTAAATAAAGGAAAACGAAGCCAGAAAGCCCTCGCCCTTGGTCCGTGCAGAGAGCAGGGGCTGGGCCGCACGGTGGGCCCCCTGGAGGTGGGAGGTGGGAGGTGGGAGCGCCCCTCGGAGGGGTGCCGAGGCCCCGCCGAGCTGGAGGTGGTGGAGGCGGTGGAGGCGGTGTGTGAGCAGGACCTGGCCTTCCAGAGGGCAGCCCGCCCCACTGTCAGGAAGCTGGGGAGCCTGGGCCATATGGGGTCCGGCGCCCAGGAGCACACTCGTCGGCATCTCGCCTCGGGAGCGCGGCCCCGGCCCACCCAGGCCCTCAGCCTCCCCCGAGCTGGAGCACCAGGCTCCAGCCAACACCGCAGGCCGGGCCACCCAGAGCCGTTTCTCGGCGAGGAGAGGGGGCGAGAGCCACGCTGTCCTCGGCTGCTGCTGTTTTGGTCTCTTGCTCAATAACAAACCGCCCCCAAACCCAGTGGCTCAGAACAATGCCCGCTTCTTCCTCCCGCCGCTGTGGGTGGCGGGGCTCCCTCGGGCTGCCTGCAGCCGGAGGGTCAGCTGGCCGGACGGTCCCGACGGCCTGTCAGCGGTGCCGGGAGCTGGCAGTGCCACCCATCAGCTGGGCCGCACGGCCTCCGTCCTCCGGGAGACCAGGCAGCTGGCGGTCTCCGGGCGGCGCCCCAGGGAGTGGGTGGCAGGTGCGGAAGGCCCCTCAGGCCCACCTGGCCCAGAATCCAACCCGCCTCACGTGACGTCCTATTGCAGACAGTCAGGGCTTCTTGCCTGACTCAGTGAACAGACGGCAGTGGCTTCCTCCCAGGAGCCTGTCTTTCCCGGGGAAACGTGCTCAGAGCAGCTGGGAGGGGGGCTGCACTAACGGTGTCTGCGCCTTCGGGGGAAGGGGCACGTGCTTTCCGGGACGCCTGTTTGCAAAGGGACTCAACACCCGCCCTCCCCGCCCCCAGTGAGCCCAGTGTCTGCAGGGAACTCCAGTGTCCATGGGACACACCCCCAAAGCCAGCTTCCAGGGGAGGACGGGTCTGTCTCGGCGTGGTGTGTTTGTAAAACCGGGACAGCGGGCTGCGCAGTTCGCGGAGCGGGCGACGTCGCCTGGTTCCGGCTGACGCCGTACAGTGTCACTCCGGCCACTGTGCACGGAGGAGTGCTGTCGGCCACGCTGGGTTGTAGCGGAAGAAGCCTCCCCCCTGCCCCAGGTGTTCGTTACCCATCGGCTCCCGGTCAGCTCGGAGGCGGCCTCTCCCGCTTCCCGGCTGCCGTCTCTGCCCACAGGCCCCTGCGGGCGTGCATCTCAGAAAAACACGGTCCCTGCCCCGTCTCCCCGAGGAAACCTTGGCGATGTGTAATGCAGCCACAAAACCTGCTGTTGTGTCATTTGGTTAGTGGTCAACTCAGGCCACCGATTAAACCGAACACACAACAGACACAATTTTAGAAGAAGGTAAACGGGCAGTGCCGGCCCTGACTCCCCAGAGGACTGTAGTGCCAGTGTCTCTGCTGAGCGCACACTAGAGCGGGGAGGGGAAGGGGGAAAAAGAGGAGGGGGAGGGGGAGGAGGAGGGGGGAGGGGGAGGAGGAGGGAGAGGAGGGGGAGGAGGAGGGAGAGGAGGGGGGAGGGGGAGGAGGAGGGGGAGGGGGAGGAGGGGGGAAGGGGAGGAGGAGAAGGAGGGGGAGGAGGAGGGGAAGGGGGAAAAAGAGGAGGGGGAGGGGGAGGAGGGGGGAGGGGGAGGAGGAGGGGGGAAGGGAAGGAGGGGGAAGGGAAGAGGAGGGGGGAGGGGAAGGGGGAGGAGGGGGGGGAGGGGGGAAGGGAAGGAGGGGGAGGGAAGAGGAGGAGGGAGAGGAGGGGGGAGGGGGAGGAGGAGGGGGAGGGGGAGGAGGGGGGAAGGGGAGGAGGAGAAGGAGGGGGAGGGGGAGGAGGAGGGGAAGGAGGGGGAGGAGGAGGGAGAGGAGGGGGAGGAGGAGGGGGAGGAGGAGGGGGGGGAGGAGGAGGGGGAGGGGGAGGAGGAGGGGGAGGAGGAGGGGGGGAGGAGGAGGGGGGGGAGGAGGAGGGGGAGGGGGGAGGGGGAGGGGAGAGGAGGAGGGGGGGAGGGGAGGAGGAGGGGGGAGGGGAAGGAGGGGGGAGGGGAAGGAGGGGGAGGGGAGAGGAGGAGGGGGGGAGGGGGAGGAGGAGGGGAGGGAATCCATTAGGACGAGGGACGGGCCTGCTCCGACGCCCTGGTTGGAAGGGGACGAGGCGAGGCTGAGTTGGCTTCTGTTGATTCATTTTCTTTTCATGCAGGGAGGAGGCGAGACGGGGGAAAGGGGCTGCAGGGAGGCTGGTCTGTGGACGGAGCAAATCCTTCCGTCTCCTTTTTTTTGTCTAAATGCTCCTAAGGTTTTTAGGAGCCAAAATAGTTCAGCTCAGCGAGACAGGAGACGTGCTTTGAAAGTGATCCCGACGTTCTTCTCTCACACTCGGCCCTCAGAAGCTGACGGGCTTCTGTGAGAAGCTCTGTGTCTCAGGCAGAGCCGTGGAGGGTGTCTGTCCAGGGACACGTGCGATGGCAGGGCTTGTTGCTTGCTTGTTTCTGTTATGAGTTTTTTTTGGTTTAATGGTTTCTTTAGAAATTATCTAACCAACTCTCATCTGATAAACGAGGGAAGTGTGAGGCGTAGAGAAGTCAGGTGAAAACGTCACTGAAAGAATCCCTGAGCGATGGCAGGTGAACTCCTAGACGCGGCTGTGTTTGCGTGCCCCCGGGTGACCGTGGAACGGTCGCAGGAGAAACGTTGAGGTCTCTGAGATGCGGGCTTCCTGCTTTTATTTCCAGTCCAGAGACAAGGCCCTATGCCCGATCGTGGGGAAGGGCTTCAAATCCCCTCGCTCCTCCGACCCCTCCGCTCGCGCCAGACGGACGTGAGCGGCTCGGACGCAGCCCCGCGCTCTGAGGGTCCCCGGCTCTCGGGTTCGCCGGGAGCCGCTGGAGCACTGAGCCTCGCCTCTCCCCCGCAGGCGGCAGCCATGGACGCGGACGCGCTGGTCCTGGGCACCGTCCTCGCCAGCCTGTGCGTCTTCCAGCTCCTCTTCCACGTCCTCAGCCACTGGCTCTCCGCGAAGGTGTGCCCCGGCTTCAGCCGCCTCGGCCCCGCCAAGAAGATCGAGTGGAACTCCAGGTAACGCTCACGGACGCCACGGGCTCTCCAGGGAGCGAGCTTCGGGAAGTAAAACGGCTGAAAATGTCCCCCGAAGCCTTTCATTTAGCCCCGGCTGGTGCGGCTCTCGGCTGAGCATCGTCCGGGCACCCACAAGGTCGCCGGTTCGATTCCCAGTCGGGGCACGCGCTCAGGTTGCAGGTTTGACCCCTGGTTGGGGTGCCTGGGGGAGGCCACCCACCAGCATTTCTCTCTCCCATTGATGTTCTCTCTCTCTCCCTCTATTTCTCTTTCTCTCTCTTCTATTGGTGTTTTTTTCTCTACCCACCTCTCCCATTGATGTTTCTCTCTCCCTCTATTTCTCTCCCCCCTCTCCCATTGATGTTTCTCTCTCTCTCCCTCTATTTCTCTTTCTCTCTCTCCTATTGATGTTTCTCTCCCTCTCTCCCCCTCCCATTGATGTTTCTCTCTCTCCCTCTATTTCTCTCCTATTGATGTTTCTCTCTCTCTCTCTCTCTATTTTTCTCCTCCCCTCTCCCATTGATGTTTCTCTCTCTCTCCCTCTATTTCTCTTTCTCTCCTATTGATGTTTCTCTCTTTCTCTCTCTCTCTCTCCCTCTCTGCTTCTCTCCCTCCCTCCCTCTCCCCCTCTCCCTCATATCCCTCTAAAAACCAATGAGACAATAGTCTTCTGTTTCGGATCTAAGAAAATCTAAGCTGGAAGTTGTGACGTTAGGACTAACAGAAGACAGGCTGCCAGCTCTCACACGGGGATCACCGAACCATGTCCGACAGCGAAAGATGGCGGGAAACACACTCAGCTTCCGGGCTGGTGTGGGGGAGCCGAGCCGGCTGGCGGCCGAGAGGACCGCCTCACACGCCTCTGAATCATTTACGACGAGCAGCCGGGTCCTGGCACCGGCACGCCAGCGAGCGAACAGGAGCTGCCGCGGCCTATATATAGTCCTGGCCGCCGGGCGCGGCAGCTGACCGCGGGGGGGACGGGCTGCCTCCCTCCCTCTCCCCCTCCTCCCTCCCTCCCCCCCCCTCTCTCCCTCTCTCTCGGTGAACTGCAGCCCCGAGCCTTCGGCATCTGCCCGTTGTTACAGAATCCCAAAGTAAAAGCTGCTTTTAGATTCTTTACCCCCAAAACAAGAGGGAAGCGAGCAGACATGGAAGGACAGAGAAGGCCGTGTCAGTCTCACTGGCTGAGAGTGTTGTGTGAGTGACACCCCGCTTTCTGTCGTCGTTTGGTGGAAGTTGAGGCCGGCTGTACGGTGGAGTCAGCCGTCTCTGAACGGCCATAATCCCCTCCGGAAACACACGGCGAGGGTCTGTCTGGCTCACCCCCAGCGTGAGAGCGCCTCCCGCGGGCTTCTGGACAAATAGGAGCTGCGGCTAGTCCTAAGGACGGCGAGGACGTGTGCCGTGCGGGAGGCAGGCGGTGTCGCTGTTTCGTCTCCAAACTCTGCGGACAGGAGGACGGCACGGGGGGGGGGCGGGGGGGCGGGCGCTGGGTTCCTGTTTTCACTCCTTTCACCCACGGCCAGGACCCGGGAGGGCTGGCAGCCCAAGAGCTGGGGGAGGGGGGCGCGGGCACACAGCGCAGACGGTGACCCAGCAGTGCGGCCGGAAGGCACTCGCCTGACTCAGCGCTCCCGGCCCTCTGCACGGCGCCTGGGGAGACGCCGTGGGAAAGAGGAGGTGGGGAGGAACGGGTCCGATGCTGGTCAGGTGCGGGCGCTCTTCGGGCAGTCCTTCCACCTGCGCTGGGCTTAACGGGCTTAACGCGGGGCGGCGGGAGGGCAGAGGAGGAGGGAAAGGGGCTGCTTTTTGAGCCAAGTGCGCGCGCATGCACACACACACGCACACACGCACACGCGCACACGTCCTGAAATCCAGCGTCGGGTCTGGAGGCAGACAGGCGGCCCTCCCTGCCCCCTGCTGCCCGGGACAGTCTCTGAGGGGCCGGGTCTGGGCCGCCCATGGAGGCCAGGACGTTCTCCCCGAGGGAGAACGTGTCGTCAGTGCCCGGGCGCCACTGCCCTCAGAGTGGCTTTTCCTGAAAACGCACGTGGGAGCTGCTGTCTCTGTCCTCGCTCCTGGTTCTCATGCCCCTGATCGTAACCGGCCTCGGCGGCGCCGAGCCCTCCCGCCTGAGCCGTGCCGCCCCTCCAGCACGCGCGGTGCCCATTGCTGTCCAAACACGGTCACCATCGCCTTGAAGGCGGAGTGCTGTCCCCAAAGCCATGCGTTTCTCTTTGCCCCTCGTCAGGAAAAAGGAGGGAAGTGCCTTATCCGGGTAGCATTTCGGTCCCGCTTTGCCCGGAGCTGCCTGTAAAGAGTTAACGGTGAAGTTTGACCAACAGCAGCTTCGGAGCACACGGACGGGCGGACGGACGTTGACCCGCGCACAGCGGCCCAGGCTGCCCCCGGTCCCGGTGACGTTGAACTTTCCCGGGACTCGCCTGCCGGTTCCTCCCCCGCACACACCGCCCGGCGGACTCGGACGAGGCCTGGCCTCGGGGACACACGTCACCCTTTGCCGGGAAGACGCAGTTTTGGTGTTTGTGGGGGCTCGTCTTTTCACAGGATGTGCACAGGGCAGCGGAAAGCTGGCTGCACCGCCACTGACTGATTTTATTTTGGTTTTGGTTGTACGACGGCTGTTTAGCTGGAGGGCTTCTCGCACACGAGGATCCTAACCCCTGGGTCCGGCTGTGTCCTCAGGGAACACGGCACACACACGCAGGCCACCGAGTGTCTCCCTGTCGCTGTCCGCAGCTGGTGAGGCCCCGGAGCCCGGGCGCGCTGGCTTCGGGGACCCCTGCAGGGCACGCTGCCTGAGCGGTCCATAGCGGTCCCTCAGGTCACAGTGATCTTCTCTGCGTCAGCATCCATGTTGGTTGACATGTGCCGCTCCCCTTTGAAGGGGTGGGGCTGTGCAGAGAGGAAGTCATTGCTGTTCATGTCTAGAGAGAAGACCGTGCTGTGCCTTTCTCTCATCTTCGTCCTAACGAAGAACAGTCTTTATTTCTCGCTCGCGTGCCCCGGAGCCGGGCAGTTGGCCGAGCCGCTCCATTCTAGCGAGACACCGAGCTCTCAGACACCGAGCTCTCAGACAGACGCCGAGCTCACAGATACCGAGCTCTCAGACACGGAGCTCACAGACACCAAGCTCACAGACAGACGCCGAGCTCAGACGCTGAGCTCACAGACACCGAGCTCTCAGACACGGAGCTCACAGACAGACACCGAGCTCACAGATACCGAGCTCACAGACAGACACCGAGCTCACAGACACGGAGCTCACAGACAGACGCTGAGCTCACAGATACCGAGCTCTCAGACAGACGCCGAGCTCACAGACACGGAGCTCATAGACACCGAGCTCTCAGACACGGAGCTCTCAGGCACCGAGCCCTCAGACACCGAGCCCTCAGACACCGAGCTCACAGACAGACACCGAGCTCACAGACCCCGAGCTCACAGACACCGAGCTCACAGACAGACGCCGAGCTCACAGACAGACACCGAGCTCACAGACAGACCCCGAGCTCACAGACACTGAGCTCACAGACACCGAGCTCTCAGGCACCGAGCCCTCAGACATGGAGCTCACAGACAGACCCCGAGCTCACAGACACTGAGCTCACAGACAGACGCCGAGCTCACAGACAGACCCCGAGCTCACAGACACCGAGCTCTCAGACAGACGCCGAGCTCACAGACAGACGCCGAGCTCACAGACAGACGCCGAGCTCACAGACAGACACTGAGCTCACAGACAGACACGGAGCTCACAGACAGACGCCGAGCTCACAGACAGACACCGAGCTCTCAGACAGACGCCGAGCTCTCAGACAGACACCGAGCTCTCAGACACCGAGCTCTCAGACAGACACCGAGCTCACAGACACCGAGCTCACAGACAGACGCCGAGCTCACAGACACCGAGCTCT